ACTGAACACTAATTAACAAATTAAAACGTCACTGATTTAGAGCTCTTCATACACAGGTACACACATCCACATGCATAAGCACGCACAACTGTACACACGTGCACTTTCACTTACCTCTATAGCTCTCTTTATATATGGTATCTGCGTGCCACTGTCCAGATCTTCATTAATTATAAGTCTCCTAGCCCACTGACCTGCTCTGACAACACCGTTACCATGAATTAGGACCAACAGCTTGTCAGGATTTGTTAACGCATCTTCGCTCATAAAGATAAAGCTCTTTGGTTCACTCTCGGTCGCATCAACCTGCAATTACAGACAACATGCACTTCTATGCATCAATAAAATTTTTTAAAAGAACATCTGTAGTTATAAAGTTAGCCGCCAAATTGATATAAAATCTTTCACCGTTTAACAACTATTTGTATGCATATTATAAGGACTAACGTGTGCCCAGTGCTAAATAAAATTAAGGCAAAAGCTAGTATCTGTGCACTGTAACTTTTGAAGCATAAAAACATACCACAGTTTAGAACAGTAATCCAAGGGAGATTTAAATTTAAAGAAGGGGTAAAAAGTATGCTAAGGCTTTGAAACACCAGTTGTTTACAGAAATGTACTGGCAAAAAGCAAGTCCATAAAAGCAGAATCTGGGGTGAGGAGGGCGGGGACGAAGTAATCTGCCGCTTCTGATATGTCTGAAGCGACAATAAAATTCTTACATATTATGAAAAAAATCCTGGAGAGTTCTGTCTCAGCCACCTCAACATAAATACCCAACAAGCCACACAGGAACCAGTATTGTAAATCTGACTATTATAAATTTAACAGGATAGGCCTAACAAAATATAGAAATCCAACTTGGGTCTAAATAATGGATTCATTAAGAGTCCTGCATCTGTGTCGATGCTTAGCTACTTTGCTGTAGGAACAGACCAATAACCAGCTTTGATAATCAGTAAACCATAATTTAATTGCAAGTTTTGTCCTTACTCTAGAGAGCAGAGCAGCACTTTTTGTTCACTAAAAACAGAAGTTCTATAAAACAGACAGCAGAAAAAAACCCCATCCCATCTACTCATTTTTCCCTTTCTACCATATGAATACATAGAAAAGGAAGAACAGAGGAGGCAGTTCTCCCTGTCCTACTGTACTCCACACCCCATGACCCGCTCAGGCTAAACTGAACAGCTGCTCGGAACAACCCTGGGCTGACTTACGCTCCGCAACAGCGATGAAGGGCAGGTCGGGATACGAGCCTTACGTTGAGACAGGAGGAATGGCTACTTGGATTATGTCAGTTTTACCTCTAACTACCCTTACCTTAGGAAAAATTAATCCTGTATGAATCCGCAGGCTTTTTTTAATGCAAGTCCTACTGAGTGTTTTTTTTTAATGAAGTCAATGAGGCTACTTGAAAGAAAGGAATGGTCATGTCATGGCATCTGCCATAGTGCTGAAGACCTTATTCCCTGTTTCAAAATGACGTAACATCCCATGTGCCTCAGCCGCTACCTTCTATGCCAGGAAATGTAATCACCTTCTCCCACACTTTGTGTGAAAACAGAAAACATAGTAAAAAATACATTCCATTGAAAAGAATTTACAATATGTAAGTACCACAAGTACCATACTGGGGCTACAGTCAGATCACGTTGCTGCTTCTGAAGAAGCAGTATTAATACCTTAAAATTTAACATGGCTTAGGTAAGAAGTCAGACAACACTAAATCTCAGATAGTACTTGGCAAGATGTAATTGACTTTTGCACATAAACTGAATACTTATGATACCGTAATTAAGAAAAAATTTTGTGAATTTGTATTTCATATGAAGATATAACTTAGTTGTATGTTTCAGTATTTATAAACTAAATTTTTGGTTTGTATTTAGGAAATACTAGCACTTAGTAATCATAAGTAGCAGAAGATGTAACTAGTTCACACTTCTGCAAACACGTTAATTTAAAAGAGTTAAAAATATCTACCAAGAGCATAAAAAAATAACTCTTTATTTTCTTCTTCAAATTAATCACTCTTCAAGCTAATTTATCTTCAAACAGTAGTAATTCATTAGATCAAGCTTTCACTAAAGAATGCACATAAAGGTCACTCCTGTGCACAACCTTAATTTATTGACAAATCAACATAGAATACCATTTAGAGCTAGACACACTGAGTCCGCATACAATAATTTATAATTATTAGCCACTTTCTCCTCTGGACCTACTCATGAACACATATTTCTGATCCTTTATTAAAACACAAATCAAACAAATCCAGTAAAATGATGAACTTCAGTTAGCTTAATTTAACAATTTGATTCAACATTGTTATTCACATGCAATAACAATTTTCCAGTAATCTGTAGCTAGGAATGTCAAGTCAATCTAAATTCTGCTGATAACTTACTGTTTCAAAGTACCGTTTAAAGTTTAATTTTCCTTTTCTCAGATTTATTTTTCCAACCTACAACTATACCTTTATGTTTATGAATGTATGCAGTTATGGTGAATTCTCTGAGTTACACACTCTACATATATTATGACATTCTTAAGGTTTTCAAACAGTGAATTACTTTTTCCGTACAAGTTCTGTCTCAAACGAGCTACCACCTAATACAGCAGTACCAGTCTATAGAATATTTCTGCAGCATATTAGTTAGTATATCGCACAGCTGCTATCAATGTATAAAGTAAGATCAAACTATACTTAAAATCTAATCTTACTGACATTCATGCTATCACGTTGACATTGACCCAGTCTTCACTTCTTATCCATTACTAACCCAAGATGCACGAAACCTGAGTAAGTTCTAGAGGTCGTTTATTTTGTACATTGGAAGTTTTTAAGTTTAAGATTGAATGTTAGATTTTTAAAGGGAAAAAAAACCACTAATATTTTTTCATATTCCAGTTAATAAATACAACAAAAATTATGAGCCTAGAGCCTACATACAAGTGAAACAGGTCTAACTTGTGACTGGAAGAAAGAACATGGCAAATAAATGGAATTGCAACTGAAAAGACTCAAAAGTGAGAACTGTGCGTAGCTCGTGGAGAGGGAAAACGGCTCATTTGCTTCACAAGATGAGGAAGTTTTCTGTTACATGGTTCTACATAAAGCCTGCTAATTGACTCATGTTACAGTTTTCAGAATATTGAATATCCTGATTTATAATTTTTCACTCAAAATTGTAAAAAATGAAAAGTGCTGATCAATATTACAAGCAGCTAATTAGCATTTGGTCATTACCATAACTAACTTAACAAACCTAAAATTGGTGGAATTTTTACAAAACAAGTTTTGACTGAACTTAGGTAACAAAACAGCCAAAAGGAATATGCAGTGGAGATAACAGACCATTGTTTCTCAAAGAAAACGTGTTCTTGGCTGTCCAGTAGATCAAGAGAACTACTGAATGAACTTTTACCTATTGAAGTGAAAGAGCAAAGCATTGATAAGTTAGAAGATTCTGCAAAATGAGACATTTCAGTGCCATCGTCAATAAAACATCAGTAATTATTTAAACTTTCATCTCAAGTGTTCCCAGAATCTGTTAAAAATACATTTAATTCAGAAGCATCCTCTTTTTGTCCTCAACAGCTAAAGGACAGCAAAGATCAATCACTGATTATGCCATTAAAACTAGAGAAATACAGAGACTTCATCTGGACAAAAAAATCACAGTCTTTTTTATATTCATTATATAACCTTCAATGGAGCACAAAGTGAGAAATGTAAAAGAAATAATTGAACACCTTCTCCCTGAATATGAGTCTCTTCATTTAAATTTTCAAGTCCAGTACTAAATGTCGAACATTAAAAGAACTACAATACTTTACAGTAACAATAATGCAACATGCATTTCAGCCACCCTGTGAGGAAAAAAATGTTCAGATTTATGTTTTGTCAGAGGTGCTGACACAATGAAATAATGGGTGATCTTTCCTGATTTCCAAACTGCTCTTATTTTCATATCTGAAAAGAAATTTACGACCAATTGTGTCCAAAACAGAAACTGACACCTGAGAAAGAAAATAAAGACAGGAAGTTGGACTTTGCACGAGGTTGAAATTAAGAAAGAAGAGAGAACATGAAAATCTGTCATTCTAAACCTTTAAAGCATAGCATTTCCATACACTGCTAAAATCATGCTAAAAAAACCCCCAAAACTCCGTTTAACACAGTCCTCAAACACATTTCATATATTCAAACTTCATTACACTATCAACTTCATTATCAGCTGATAGAAAAAGGAAGGCAAATACACCAACTTTCTGATCACCTGTGGCAAAGTTGAGAAAAAAACATGTTTTCATATTCACCTCTAAAACACTCATATAATAAGGTCATATTCATAAGAAAAGCCATCTGGGTCAGATCAAGGTCCCAAGGTCCTGTTTCTGACAACTGGCAGTTTGCTTAGGAGAATAGTATGAGAAGAGTGGTTGTAGAGTGACTCTTCCCCGGTTTTGGTAACTAGTACCTTTGGAGCCTCCTGAACCAGACTTTATAAGTGGACAAGCATGTGCAATAGTTCAATGCACCTATCCTACCTTTAGTATTGTCAAATGTTCTTTTTTAATGCATTTATACCTTTCTCCTTGATAGTATTCTGTGGCAACGAGTTCCACAATATAATTGGGACATATATGAAATGGTACTGCCTCTCTTTCAGTAGAGATCTCCTGCCTGATAATTTAAACTTGATGCCCCTTAGCTTCCCTATTATGAAAAAAGCGAAAAACCATTCCCTATTCACCTTCTCTACACCTTTCATGATTTTATAGAGTTGTCATAGTCCTTCCTCAGTCATCTATTTTCCAAGCTGAAGAATCTTTGTCTAATCTTTCTTTGTCAGAAAAGCATTTCATGCCTGTGATCATCCTTGTAACCCTCCTCTGTACTTTTTTTTTTTAGATTTTTCATATTCTTTTTGATATGGTGTCCAGACTCCATGCAGTGTTCAAGATGAGGGCCCACATAACGAGTGGAATGACGATGTTTTTCTGTTTTGTTCTCAACACCTCATAATTCCTAACATCCTATTTGCTTTGAGGGTTTTTGACTGCCATTGAGCACTAACCGATGTTCTCAGAGAACTATTCACAATCACTCCAAGCTCTTTCCTGAGTTGTAATAGCTCATTTAGAGGCCACCATTGTGTTTACAGACTGAGTTATTTTCCCCATAATTTCACATTTACCAGAACTGAATCTCATGTCATTTTATCATCCAATCATTCAACATCATGAAATAATTCCCCAACTCATCATAATCAGCTTTAGATTTAAGTATTCTAAATAATTTTAGAAAAAAACAGCTAAGTTTGTTAGCTTCTATTAATTCCTTTTTTTCCTTTCATTTACAACTCTGTCAGTGCAGTCCTTAATAACACTGCACTGGTAACAAATTGTTTCATTTGTAAAAGATGAACACCTTTTTTCCCTTTTAACCAATTATTAACTCTTAAGGGGACTCCGTCCTCCTATGCTTTTTAAAAGCGCCTGGTAAGCCTGTTGACAGCTCCCTGGAAATCCACATACTCTTTTACTGACAAGATCTTTCTTTTTCATGTGATGTCTGACTCCTTCAATGAATTCTGGTAGGTTTTTTTAAAAAAAGAAATCTGTACTGACTTTTCCTCCAACATATTTTATTTCCTCCTGATACACAGGAATCATTATGAATCACTCCTGGAGGCCTTTCAAAGACTATCGTGTTTACTCTTTTTCCATTTCTCTGATGAAAATAGCTGATTTCAGCAGTAAGTTACATACTACTCGGTTGTTCTGCAGCTTCATATTTGACTTCTTACAGAACCCTGGACTTAAAAACCATCTCATCCTGGAATTTGATCATTGTACAATATAATCAATTTGTCCTAAGATCTCCTCCACTGATACGTCAAATTTCAGATAGCTCCTCAGAATTATATCCTGTTTAAAAAAAAATCAGTAATAATCAAGTGTGGAAACTGGATGAATAATATTGGAAATAATCATGCTAGTTTTTCTTATTTGAGCTGAGCACTCCTTTTGCATGCAGTTCATCTACCAGCCTCATCAGTTCTCTTTTATTATTAGCCTTTACAACTGTAACAAGCTCCTCAAATTCAGTTTTGGGTGACTGTACTGTAATTTTACATGTAACTTGCCAGAATTTATAGTCTTATCTATTTAACTTGCACAGGACTTGCTATAAGCTGCCTTAGTACTTCTAATAGTCTCCTCTACTAGTTTAAACCACGCTTTTTTTGTGTTGTTACTTGGAGTCTGTCAGTGGTGAGTTAAACATAGCCTTTAGAAAGCTTTAATTTTTCAGCTTCTACATACATTGTTTCATTTTTCTCATTTTTGTAGACCTCTTCGTAACCTATTTTTGACTGTGGTGAGGGGTTCCTATGCATGATAGTCATTACTAGAGAATGGTGCTCATACCCTGTGCCCAATTTTCCACACTGCTCACAATTAAACAGCTGCATGTATTTTGTGAGTTCTTACTTTGCCCCAAAATGCAATTAAATTATGACACTTTGCAGAAGCTGGAAGTAATACATTTGAGAGTAGCTTAAATGTACTACTGAGAAACTGCATCAGTGCATCGGTGCTTACTACATAATTTATAAATAAGAGTAAACACAGATTAATTCAACAGTGGGAGCTAGACAGGGCCATTCTTCTCCCAAGCTAGACACCCAAATCTCAGAGCCATACAGATGAGTCCCCAACATGTGTGACAGAGGTGATGGAGGTGGTGTAATACTTACTCCAAGTTCATTCATCTTCATTTTTGAAACTAATAGATCAGCCTTAGCATTGCATTACTTACACGCATGTTCCTTTTTACAAGGACATCCAAAGAAAGGTCTACAGCCTCAAAATTCAGGCACTTCAAAGTTTAAAACCGACAGCTTCCTGAATTCACAGAGAGAAGGTGACATGGCTGGAGGAAGTCTTTTGACTCATTACCTGTCTGGTACATGGGAAGTACAAGACAGCAACGTTCAGTTCCTCGGAAAAAAAATTCCCCAAAAAGAAAACTAGTTGTGCAAAAAAGTTAGGGATCATGACCAGCACTGCACCAGGCAGACTGCCATGATAAACCCAATCCTCTTCTCTGCCTACACAGGGAAATCTGAAGTAGGGAAACGCTTTCTCAACTGGTCTCGGGTCTTGGGGCATCAGCATAGCCTATGTGGTTTTGCTGGCTGGGAGTGTGGAGGAAAGCAGCTGCTTGCCCTCCGACTGCTCCGTGGAGTTCCTGGCACAGCTCTCTCTGCCCTCACCAGGAGACACTGGAAAAGCCTGGCTTGCAAACCTTGACTAGGTTGGGCAGGTTATCAACACATTCCCTAAACAACACTTAGGGAATGGAAATGTGAACTGTGAAACCTTACAGCACTGCTAAAGCAAAGGACCTTTTCCTTCCTTAGCCAAAACAGGTCTTCCTCGACTGAATATGAAGGACTGGCTGAGAACAGTAGTAATGCAAAAGCTTCTCAAAGACCCTAGGAACCCTTTACGTTAGTGATGGAAAACCTACACGGTGCCATCACACTACAGCCTCCCCTATGCTCTCCAGAATAGAACATAAAAATGCCTGAACATCACCATGCTATCGCATGTATTTACAAACACTCTCATATATGTTCTTTGGGGAATGCTTTATCACTTCCAAGGGCTGATCAAATACCTTCACTAAGCAACAGCAGCACTTCATAGTACATACATGTTACAAGTTACCAAAAAAGTGTTTTAAAAAAAGACTTGGAGTAGTTTACTGAAACCAAATTTGAGTTCATTCCTCTGCATGTAAAGGCCGATTTGTTCTCTACATCCAGCTGTAGGGTTCTTAAAACATTCACAAACATTTTTCAAAAAACTACTACATTTTGAAAATCCTGGCATCTGGTAAGGCAAGAAAGGCTTAGCTGGAGAAATCAAACACGTGAGAAGTGAGGTGGAACCACGACTCCAGATGCACACACATGGTGCATGTGAAGGCAGTGTCCTGAGACAATGCCCTGGCCAGAGCCTTGGCACACCTTGTCTTTACCAGAATACTGGATTGGAGGCTATGCTTTTTACAGATACAAACAAACAATGCCTTTGGAGGGAAAAAAAAAAAATAATTTACTTACTGGGAGAGTTACTTTCTTCAAGTGGCATTCTTTCTGCAGTAGTTCGTAAACGTATTTAGTAATGATCTGGAAGGAAAAAAAAAAAGAAATGCAAAGAGATATTAAACCACTTACAGTAATGACATATCCAGGCAGACAATTTAAACTCTACTCGGTTAAACTTGCAAGTACTTGTATATGTTTTGCCACTTATTTGAATCATTTGCTATACAACTAATTATAGAACTTGGAGCTTTACACAAAAAGGTCCTCTCTGTCCCTCAGAAAAGGCTGCTTGACAGTACAAAGAAATTGTAACTGTACCTGTGAATCCATCATGTGCTGCTGTGTGAATAATTATGTGCCTCAAAACTAAGGATTATAACCAATTAATATATACTCAGGGGTACAAGAAAGGCTCTCATTTACAAATAAATACTTTAAAAGCATTTTTTTTCCATAAGCAGGACTCCTGAAGCCCTCTTCCCTGCAGGTTCACTTCATGAGCTACACGAAGAGCCGATCTGCAGTCACCCTCAGCACAAGTTGCCTTGCCATTTCTATTCACTGAACAGGGGAGGGATGGGTCAAAGGTTTCTAAACAGAAGAAAACCCCTGACTGATTCCTCACTATGGGGGAGTTTAAGTCTCGTCTCCATGCAGAAATAAAACTGAAATTTTAGACTTGAAACAAAAGGAATTATTTCAAAGAGCAACCAAAAAAAAAAATAAAAAAAATCTACCTAGTCGCAATGAAAGACTTGCCGTTTCAAATGTGACAAAGTTGTTCACACTTCAAAGGCTTGCCTAATATCTAGGGAAACTTTTTTTCACTCATATATTCTAAGAAAAATGGAGATGCAGATATAAGAACATTCTAACTATTACTAATTTGGGAATTAAGCTGAGGAACAAACTAAAGCACATTGCCCATATGGGGCTGTAAAAATGGTTTGGAAGTAACTGCCTGGATTTCACTGGCTACAGGAATTTTGTTTTTTGGGTTTTTTTTTGGTTTTTTTGTGTGTGGGTTTTGTTGTTTGGGGTTTTTTTTTGTTTTGGTTTGGTTTTTTTTGTGTTTTTTTTTCTGTTTGTTTGGGTTTTTTTTTAAAAGGCAAATTAAAGAGGGAAAAAAGTGCTCATTAAGAGCCTCAAATGGTTCTTGCCTTCCCTTTAAAGCTTGGGGAACTATGTTTAAATTCCAGACAGGACAAGATCTAAGTCCCAAAGTATTAATCCAAGAATATCTGGGTACAAACCCAGCTGGTATTCTTTAGTCCAACCCCTCAAGGCCACAATTACAGCCATCTGAACCCACAGCATATTAAGCCACAACAGAAACGTAGCTGTAACAAAGCTCTCAAGCGATGGCATCTTAACAACACACTATGAACTGAGCAAGTAGGAGCCAGGGTATCATAAACTTCAATTTTAATTTTCCAAATGCACAATTACCAAATAAAGTTTCAATGAAGTCCAAAAGTTTTCATTATGTACATGTGAGCAAATGCAATATGCAAACGTTTGGAACACATTTGAACAAATTAGAGGTACTGATGAAAGCTAATTAAAAATGTAGGCGTGTGCCCCTCCCTTCCTTTCAGAAAACCCCAAAATCTTTATTAGGATTATGTGAATTCTTTGCTACCCTGCTCAAATATGTTTATTGATAGAATTATGTTCAAAAACCTTTATGGTTTTAAAGAAAATCAGTCTTACTGAGCATTAGCATCTACAGGGAAACTGCATTTGGAGAAGGAATTTAGCTGTGAGCGATGAGTTGATTTAAGACATGTTTATCCCCAAAGCAGTATGTTAGGAACATGCATGCAGTGTAATTTTACCTTCAGGGCCAAACTTTTTATGGTTCACTGAAATCAACTTCAGCGTAATGCCAACAAGTGAAGCAGTTAAGCTCCTGCAGTCTCAGATGCTGATGTTGTACAGACATTAAAATGAGTATAATGATAATATGGCCTCAAACGTAGAAATTTTATTTTTCACTCTAAATCCAGGCATCTACTAACCATCAAAAACACTAAAAGAACACGTGGAAGAGAAAAAAAAATTGCTATGAAGAAAACATATATGAAGACACCACTTGCAAAAACCTACCCTTTTTGGCAGCTATGTATTCGTATCTATTTCTTCTATTCTCTCTCATCTATTTAGACTGTGATATCTTCAGGGCAAAAGCAAACCTTTACTCATTTTTTCCACAGCCTGGCTCAATGGGGCTCTGATCCTAACTGGCTCTTTATGCGCTACCCTAATATAATAAATAGTGATATCAGCCTTAAAACTGGGACTGTTAAATCCGTAGAGCACTCTTGTATAGCAAAGACTTAACCTAATGAACGCTTTTATTACAAGTAAACATGAAGAAAGATAGTGTAAGTTGGAGGCTTGGATGCAAAGCATGAGATAATGATCCTCAGGCATCTCAGTACCTGGATGGTGTCCATGGCCCAGACAGACTTGAGGAAAAACTGCGATAAACTGCCTCAGTATATGTAAGACCACAAGATGGTTTTTTTGGCAGCAGTAGATCAACAAGTTCAGGGATACCCTAGCAATGGCTGGATAGCTGTAAAGGACGGAAGGTGATACACAAGATTTCTTGAAGTAGCATCAAAGCCCAAAATTTCCTAGATTTGAAAACAACATCATAACGGCCAGGTTTCCTGCACTTAGCATGGATGTGCCTGAAAAATCTAGCAAAATCCTGCCCTACCTAGGAATATAGCTGCAAGTACCGAAAATGCTACAAATCCAGCATTAGTTTTGGAATTTTGTGCTTTCAATGAGTTCTTGTGATTTTACGGCTGACCTGTAATTTTGAAAACTTAACTTTAAAAATATCTTTTCTATAGCCGTCAGAAAGAGAAGGGAACTGTGCTACACTATTCATACAGAACCAGTTAGATTTGGTATTAGAAAACTATACAATTTAAATAGCCACAATTTCAGTAAGTAGTAGTATTAGCTTGTGTATGCTCATATTTTATATTTAAGATCTGAAAACTGTTGTGGGATGTTGAAAAGTGTCTTTTCACGACCACAGGTATTTAGTGACAGAGGCTGTTCAGTACAGTGTAAATTACTCATTTGGAACTATCAAGCAACAAATTGTCCAGTATAAGTGGTACAGTTTGCCTTGAGAATGGGTTGCTAGAGAGACCTACTCAGGTTATTCGTACTGACGCAGGATATTTGTGCCTTATCTAAGGCTCTCGCAACTCATAAGGTGTGCCAACACTCTAAGCAGTACGCTGCACTGTAATTCAAGGTAAGAAAGTTGCTGGTGAGCAGGTAGCACCATGTCTGAGACGGGAAAGGGCAAAAAAAGAAAAACAATAGCAAGGCTTGCCAAATTGTGTGAAATTAACTGCCTGATAACAGAGGAAAAAATGGTAGTTCTCTACTTCTTGTACAAGACACTGTAAACTTCAACTTCGTTTTACAGTATCTCTGTTCTTCATTCACTTTCAAGTGCCGTCTATCAGGAAAACATATCCCAGACAGGGTAGGTATCTGAACTAAGTACTATCAAAGTATTCTTATTGCCTGCTCTGAAAATTGGGGAAAAAAATCCTAACACAAACCCAAAAAATCTCTATGCGTCTCATCACCTATTCCAACATTAAGGGAGAAACCCTTTCCAACCACAAAAATGTACTTAGCCTAACAGTTCCACCCCCAAAAAAGGTTATATTCAAACTGTGAGATAGGAGAAACTTTCTTCCCAGCACAAAGCAGTTCTCTTTGGAAGGAAACTAAATGGCTTATACTTCAATTTGCTCTCAGTGAGCTGAGGAGCCAGTGTCCTGCTTTGTGTAAGCCCTAAATGAAGTCATAGCTTTTCTTACTTTTCTTGGACTAGAAAAACTCCCAGAATGAAGGCAGGTTGACGAGAACAGGGACCAGAGCTGAGTGGAACATGTCCCGAACAGTAAAAAACAGTGGATGATCCTGGGTATATTAAAATCACGAGTACCTAATCTCTGCTGCCATTTCCTTGTTACAGTTTTCCTTTATCTACTGTGGACAAGGTTGAGAGCAGTAATACGTATGTTTCAGGACAGGAACTAAACTTCACTGCTCACAACTGATCTTCTGAGGAGCTTAAAACAGTCAGTCTTCTGACTTACGTTAGATATAACAGTGTGAATGCCTCCAGAAGAACCTTCTCAAAGTGCTAGTGGCCCCTAGCACGACACCTGCAAAGTTCAGTATCTTATGGATAACTTGAGGACAGACCTATGTCAGGAACAGTGATCCTTCATACGGATCTAGAACATAATTTCTCTGTAATTAAAATGGGTTAAGTTTGACTACTTGGACAGACAGCAAAAATGACAGAGACAGAGAAGACCACAGAAAGAAGAAACACTCATGCAGAGCTGAGATTTTACCCTTGCTTTGCTAAATATTCCGCACAATGGTGGCCAAGACTATAAAGCTGCATGCAGTCTGCAGAGAAAAACTGAAACTCCAGGTGGAAACATAGTTCTGGTACACATTACTGTAGTACACATTAATTGGTAAGGTCCTGGCTTCGTATGACTTTTGTCCTTTTAAGATTATATTGTTCGTATAGAGGACTTTCTTCAGGACTGTTTTCAGTTACCAAAAAGCATTGAAAAATTCTGTTAGCAGCATAATTTGTAAACTCTTTGCAACAGACCATTCTGAAGCTATGTGATCAATACCTGCATATAACCATGTGAAGAGAGATATTAAAGACTAAGAGCCATTGAGATCAACACGTTTAAAGTCACAAAGATCCTGAAGGTACTGAAGCCTAAACATGATTATAAGTGGAGGTAAATACCAAAGAGATTCTTCAACGCACTAAGTATCGGAGGTCTTTAAACAGCACAAGCCTAGAAAAGGGGGCAACCAAAAGCAAGAAGGCAACTCGAGAATAACTCAGTTTAAAATAATATACCCCTATTTTAAGTCAGTAAGAAACTGAAAGAAGCCTTATAACACATAATCAAAAATGTCAAGAACCAGCCTGGCACACGTGAGGAAGAACAGAACTGCAGCTGACCCACTGGTGAACTTTTTCATAGCAGAGATAG